TATAGCACCTGTAACACACCAGCTAATCTGTCTGACACCTCTGACCGAATCAACATACCAAAGATACACACATACACAATAGAGCAGTGCTGCCTTAATACATCTGCAGAGTCTAGACATAAAAGAAACAAGAGATATGTCTTTTTTTGAGAGGTGCACACATCAAACCTTTTAATTAAGAATTGAGGCAGCATCACACAAGCTCAGTTTTAAGCAGCTCGGTTTGCTTAAAACAAGGTATTTCTAATATTGTAAAAGAAACTCTGTTATCATAGCTAACATTTAAAAAATATATCAGCATCCTTCCCTAGTGATTATTAGGATTAAAACTGTTTTCTTGGCTAGAATTGACTAACATTTGCTGAGTGTGCGCTTTACAATGGAAACCTCAACTTTCAAATACAACATGAATATTTCCAAATCCAGGATTTTCCAAGAGAGGTGGAAGTTGAGAGAAAAAAGCTACACAGAAAATTTGCTGCTCTCCATTCAGCATGTCTTTTGCTGAATGCTTTGCTCTTTCTCGTGATCAACACACATCTTGTTCATGCTGTTGAAAATAGTGTTTTCTTTTGTGGAGTTTCCAATATCTTGTTTCTTCCCCAAACTTAAAAAAAGTTTCTTCGTGTTACAAACACCTCAGTTTAATTGAAAATAGCTATCAGTCTTCATTACTTAATAACGGTAGGGATGCAAAAATGTGTTCATGTCAGTGTGATCTAGTAAGACTCAGTGTTCAGTGGTTAGAAAAATTATTTGATCTTTTGATTTTTGACCTGTCACCAGTCAGAAGCAATCAAGCTGAAAATAATATAAATCTGGGAATTAGCTGAATTCTTGGTGCATCCCTCCGTCTTTGGTTTTGTCATATTTTTTGAGCTCTGGGGATAAATTCTCATAAGCAAAATGCAATCATTTGATGCGTGCATGCTTACAGATTTTGCCAGACCACTCTCTGTCTCTGCACGCACACCACCATCTCTGGTTTGCACATCGACCAATGACAGGACTAATCAGTAAAAAAATTTAATCCAATAAACCAGAATGCAGACCCCTATATTTAATTACAGGAATTGAGAAGCTGAAGGAGAGCATGCTCTGCCAATGGAGAAACAAACCACTTTATTGACAAGCACACTGCACTAATTGCAGCCTCTGTGATTATGCAATTTAACAGCATTTAACCACATTAATAGGAATAGTGAGTACAGCCGGGAAGGACATAGTAATCCACGGAAAGCGGAGATGTATTTAATGAAATTATTTTCAACTCTCTGGCTGATATGCAGACAAGAGAAGGAAGTCAGCTTCTTGTTGGTTGCAATGTTATACCATAGACTTCTCATTAGGTACGGTCAAAGAAAGCCTTGTGGTGGGTTAGTCCCGACTTTGTAGCAAAACTGCTGAGAATGAGAAGAGAGGAATCATCCTGTTCTCAGGAGAATCAGGGGTTGAAAGGTCATCTGATCATTGTGTTTGATTATGTAAGGTTCCAACATGGAAAAAAGAAAAAAATCTTGGAATAGTTAGAAATACACTTCAAAACATTTGAATCTGTTGGCTTATCATCCTCCTGCTATTTCATCCTGAATACACGACAGGTTTTGTCTGGAAATAATTGAATTTTATGTACTTAATATTCACATACATGGCACTGTTGTGGCTATAATGTAGAGGTTTGGAGTTGTCTTTACTGGATTTCTTATTTTAATGACAATAGTATTCACTTACAATGTGCAAAAGGCTCCTTATAATTACTAGAAGGCTAACAGGTAATCTTTAAATTACTTAACACCATGTCTATAAATCTTTGTCAAAATAAGTAAGCCAGTTCTGAGGACAAAAACACATTCAGTCCCAGTAGTAACATGGTGGGTGGATAATTTTAGCTTTAAGGGTTGCAGATTTTATCCCTATCATCCCTATTTTTCCTTTTTTTTTTTTTTGCCAAATTCAAAAGTGTTCGAAATAACAGAGATGAACTAATAATGAAGCTATTATGATGTGAGATTTCTCAGACCAAGAAAATTAGCAAATAGCTAATGCAAGTGGAAATGTGGATGATGTACCGAAAGACTGGGACATGTGGTCAGGGTCGAGGGTCATCTCACCCCCATATCCACTTCCCCCGCACTGCAGCGCACAGGAAACCCAAATCACCGGACCAAGTCTCATCAGCAGTTGTGCATGCACACATGCCGATATGAACAACAAGTGAATAACATTTCTTGGTAGCTCCTCCGGGGCTGAACTACTAACAGTCCCTTTGCAGAAATCCTGTTCTCAGCACCGTGATGAGCTGCTCCTGGAACTCATAAAACCGAGGCCACCCAGGGCGAGAGCAAAGTTGAGGTGGGGGCTGAGGGTCTGCTCTAGCCTTAAGGCGGCTCTAAACCGGCCAACTGTCATGTCCTGTGACCTGACCTACCAGACCTGGAACTGCACACACACGCACATGCACACACAGATGACCAAGAAAGCAGGAGGATGATGATCTAGCACTGTTAAGCCAAAAGATTCTGTTACAAGTGCTGAACAACTTCTTCAAGGTGCTTTATGGTGCTAAAATTGGTAGATTGAATAGTTGAGACTTACAGTGTCTCTTAGAGTATTTCTGGTTAAAAAAAAGGGGAGAAATTTTTATTTACAAGTTATTAGGTTAATGAGGAAGAGGTCAAACTTCGAACATGCTGTAAGTTTTACCTGCTGATCGGTGTCACAGGTGGCACAGAAGATTGTTCCTCCTCAGACTCTCATGCAAATTGCCAGTTAGCAAAAGGAGGAAGTGCACCTGTTACCTTGGTAAACTCTGGTATTTATTTGCACACTGGTTTTCTGAACTTTATTTCTGTGCTCACGTTTTGTTTTCTTTACCTGAAAGACTAACTTTCATAATTTAGTCAAACAGTTTAGGAGATGTTTACGTTGGATTTTGTATAAGCAGAAAATTTAAAGTCAGTTTCGGTTTATTAGCAAGCTGAAGAAATGAGAGGTAAGTGAATAGTTCTTGTGAGAAGATCATTTAGAAGTTATTAAATGAATAACAAATATTCTATTAGGTCGCAAAAACATCACTAAATGGCTCCTTTCAACCAAAACTTTTTTTTCCTTTTCAGAGTTAGCAAACAGAGATTGTTGCAGGACAGAGTTCTGATTATGCAGCATGTGTTTGGTACTGAAAGATGGTGGGGGGGTGTTCAGGGAAATAACAGTGTGGGGACTGTTTCAAATCCCATCCCAAGCACAAAGTTTCATTAATAAGAGAGGGTCTGGTCACGAACTTGTGGACCAGTCAAATAATGACAACATTTGTGGCCTTGCCACAGAAAAAAAAGTCGCTTAATTTCGACTACTCCTCAAAGTAGCTACTGAAGGCAATTTGTTACGTTCCTACTGATTTCGTTAATGCACTCTTTTCAGGGTTGTGTTGATGTAAGTTATCTGGAGCTTGGTACATCTGTGAGGCTGTGTGGAACACCAGATGTGCTGGGCACCTGTAGTGTGCTGTCAACACAGAAGAGAGGACCCGGCCTCACGCAGGACAGTGGACCTTGTCCGAGCAGACACAGATGCACAGGGTCACACAGGGTGGCCATTGTGTAGACACCATTTATGCACAGACACACACTCATAGACAAGCACACACACACCTGGGAACAGAGGCAGCAGCAAAGTGCCACAGTGTTGAACAGAGTCAGAGAGCCAGCTGCTGTCTTGCTGTTGCAGGGATCCATCAGTATACCAGTTTATACTGGCTGTAAATCTGCATCGGTCAGCCAGAGGCTGACTGATTAACATTGAATGCCCCTGACATATAGGGTGACTACAGATAGAGTATCATCTTCTTACTGTTCATTACAAAAATAATTGGCATTTTAACTTCTTTCCTCTCTATATTTTCTGAATTTATTTTCTTTTTTTGTTCTTGTGAGCCATGAATCACTCAGGCACAAAAAGGTCTTACACTCAGAGGAGTAAGACCTCCAAGTGTAAGACTCCAGAAAATGGACAATTTAGCGATGAATAGTGGTAAAAGACAAAAGGCACAAACCACAACACAGAAAACTCAAATGTAAAAGTAATAAATAAAGCAATGGAAATGAACAATATGACCCAACTTATGTGATTTAACTTCACATAAGATTTAGGGGGAAATAATATATAGATTTTTTATTTCTAATTTACTACTACATTACTGTTTGCTGCGACACACTGGCGACCTGTCCAGGGTGTACAGAAAATGGATGGATTACTTCTTTATTTTTATGAGGTCAACTCTTCCCTAAAACTATTCAAATCATTTTTATGTATGTTCTTGAATATAATTGCAACCATCCTTAAGTTGTAGTGTCCATTTTTTACGGAAAACAGGCTTTGAATTGAAATATCTCTTTTACATAAAGCTTGAAGATGTAATGCTAGAAGTACAAAGTCGCTGCATAGAACCTTAAAATCCACATTGTACAACAATTTGGCTACAATTTTTGAATATTCGAACACATGGAATGTAATTTTGTTACCGTCACAGACACTTGGAGAGAGCTTAAAAAAGGAACAAATGAGCTCATAAAAATTATTCCTTATATGTTATATTTAGGTTAATGGGATTTCCAGCCTGCTGACTTGAACTTGCTCTACATGTTTTAGACTTTGTCCTGATATATCACACCTGAATCAAATGACTGGGGTAACAAGCAGCCATCAGTGGAGATAAGGAACATGCTGGGGAACTAATTCAGTTTAAATTAGCTGTGTAGGAGCAAGAGCACATGTTAAACCTGCAGAGTACTGGCCATTTAAAGCTGGAACCGGACAATTCTGCTGTACAACCTCCAGCCATGGTGTTGCTACACGTGCCACAAACCTAAGAGAAACTAGAAAAATTAGTTCTTAGTTTCTCCGTGTTAGAAAAAAGGTCAAATAAAGTCCGCTGATGGTATTAAAATTAAATGGAAGCAGAGAGAGTTTATTTGGTTTTGAATTCAATGCAAGATAAAAAGAGAAACTAATGCACACAAATATGATTTGCACAAAAGCAAGACAAACGACACATCTCTCAAAGTTAGTAAAATTAGCACCACATGACATATGGGTGTAGCTGTGGTTTAAAAACAAAACAAATAAAAATCCTCTGATCTTTTATCAGCAAGTCACATTTTTCAATTTTGACTGTGTGCTGATGATTACATTAGCAACTTTTCACATTTACAAAGTGAGACGGCATGGCATTTATGACTGAAGACTTGAAACCAATAAAACACCAGTAAAAGTTTTTAAGTATTAAAACATCCAATCAAAGCAACATAAATAACATCACAGTGTAAGCTATTCAAACATTTGACAATTGGGCATTTAAGCTAACGTAACAAGATAAAAACAAGGGGAGGACCAAAGCAATGCAATAAACACAAATCTGTGAAGTGTGGAGTTACCAATTGTAGAGGGGAGCAGAGATGTAAATGTAATTAAAGGTAAAAACACATCAAATTATGCAAAATTCGTCCACACTGTGACATTTACAAGATGAAGATAACATTCTTACAGAGCTAAATGCCCAGTTTAAAAATGCAGATGTCAGATAGCCCCCCCCATTTCTCGCCATTCCCTCTTCTCCTCCGCTCTTGATCTCTCCACTTTGATTTATTCATTTTCTATGTTGGCGAGCCAGGCGGGACAATGGCGTCTTTCATAACTGAGGCAATGTTCCCACTACCAGCACCCTGCTGCCCCCCCAGCGTCCCTCATCCGCCAGGCCGATCTGACGTGACCTGGTCATGGGGGACTGGTCCTACATCAGAAGGAAACACAGAGAAATACAGAAGATATATTTCCAATGGGTTACTCAGTATTTTAGCGAATCGACATCAGAACTGATCTAAATACATGCTGTTAGGATGCACTTTGAGTTGTACTAAAACAGGCATAAAAAACAGAACTAAGAAATTCTTGAAAGTTTACACTGAAAATCTTTTTTTTTTTTTTTACAAAACCGATGGCTTCTATTGCTTTAAAGTCTTATTATATGTGAGTTTGGTAAAACAGCTGATTAAACAGTCACTGTGGGAGGAAAACATGGAATATGAAAAGAAGGACAAGCGTTGGAGGAACTGAATGAGGTGAGGGGGGTGAAGGCGCATGAGACGGGTGGTGGTGGTGGGGAGAGTGGGGACTAGGGGTCATTTTTGCCTCCCCCTGTTCTTGCTCTCCGAGGTGCATGCATGGTGGTTGACTGCAGAGTTAAGATTCATGGTTAGAAAGAGAGCCTTTCTGTTCTCCAGACTCCCCCTCTGCTAATGCAATTCAAAAAATTAGTATAATTATGCTCCATATTGCAGATTGAGGAGGCAATGTGGCCCATGGGACGTAGACAGGGAGGGTGAGCCAGTGTGGGTATTTGCTGACGGGAATAAGTAATTTATCGGGTACTTTTGCCATTTATGCAAGTGCATTCTTGCATTTATGACATTAAGTCTAATCGAATAAAAGGGTCCTGGAATGCTGCATCGCTCTCGAAATGAGATTCTGCTAATGTGAAAATGACTCCTCCTTCCTCCGTCCCTGTGGTCTTCATACTAACCGCATGTGTTTGTTTGCAACCACAGAACAACCTGTCTGAGCCACTGGGTTAATGCATCTTCTGCATTGTCCCTCAGTCGTCCATCCTCAATGTCTTCTTGACATTTGCTGCAGCAGATGTGAAGACTTTCACATGGACAGCTCTCGTGAAATGAAAGATTCTCCAGTCTCTTATACAGAATGGAAGAAAAATCTTACAAAAGGGCAAAATTTTAGTGTTAATGCCGAATAGTCTGATTATTAGTTGCTGGGTAAAGATCTCAAATAATGATCATTCTAATAAAAAACTAAGTTTGCTCCAGATATGCATGAGCTGATTGCTTAAATGCTAAGCAAAAGGCAAATCATTAAAAAATACTGAGGAATTAAACATCCATTTCAATTAATAGGAAGTAAAATAACATTGCATAACAATTGTGATATATATTATTGTATAAGTAATATATATCACAATATTATTTATACAAGATAAAGCTATTTATTCAAGTCACAACCAAGTTATATGTTTTCAGTTTGCTTTACCACACTGCTAACTCCATGGTTTGGGGTTTTTATTCTTCTATTATGCGTGCAACAAGAGGCCAGAAGGAAAATGGATTTTGTTTTTGCACCTAAAGGTCAGTATTTCAAACTCATATGTGATATAATAATGTCCAGATTCACATTAAATGATGATGATGATGATGATGATTTTGTGAATGTAACAATATGACCCTGAAGCAAACTTCAGGAAGATCTCTTCTTCCTCAAGCCGTCCCATCAGGCCCCACCCTGCAGAAACGAAGGAACCAGTGGGAAGGCGGAAGAACATCATTTGATCCCTGCTCCAGAGAGTGCGGGCCTACACATCATGTATATCCTGTTTGGAAGAGCAACCGTTTGAAACTCATCTCACACGTCCCAACGGCATCATCAAAGACGGATACGAGACAAGGAAGAAGAGGAAGAATCCGGAAACCAGCGACTGCTTTTCATGATCAGAGATGCAGAATTCATAATCAAGACACTCAAGAACAAAGTTTTTGAAGAAGATGAAAAGCTTCATTTTAAATAAATATCATCTCTTAAAAAAGCTGAAAGTAAATAAATAAAGGGAAGTTCTCAGGAGCCACAAAGCTCAGATCCTCCCACTTTGTTCATATATTTTCAGCTGTATTTTGGGGGAAAACTGGGTCAAATGACAGTTGATGCATAGATTCAGCCAAATTTTTTTTTCATTATTTGTGTTTTCTGTGACAAAACTTATTACAAAGGACTAAAATAAACTGACAGTCTAAGAGACAATTAGACTAACAAGCAGAGCAAGTGCTTTAAAAATGGGCGCCTAATTGAATTCAGATAGCATGATAAAAGGCCACATGGAAAAATTGAATTACTGCCTGAAACATCTAAGTCTGAAAAAGTTTGGCGACAAACAGAGAGATAAAAAAAATAAAATAAAGACTAACAGATAAATTGAAGTTTTATTAAAATCTGCAACATTTTTTTTCTTCTTTTTTTTTTTTTTTACAAAAGGTTAATAAATGTTTAATATGTAAAAGTAGAAAAAAAGCCACATGAATTACATTTAAAATAATTTCAAAAAATATCATAAAAGGTATTTTTTTACAATAATCATTAAGTCCTGCTAATAGTTGCACCAAAATACATTTGAGTATAGTTTAACTGCTTGGCCCTGAAAAAGTGGTCTGAAGGAACATTTTCACTTGAGATTTGTGGCAGTGTAGAGTCATAAAAATTTTTGTGACCGAAATAAAAAAAAAAAGACTGTCAAAGTTGCCGAGACACATAATGTTGACTGTAAATCAGTCACGGAGAGGAGGGATGTGGCTCCCTGAGGAAGCAATTAGCTGTGTTGGACCAGTTGCTAATAAAACACTTGGGTTACAAGCTACCCAAAGCCCATGCAGGCCGGGGGCACCTACCGTGCACTTTGTGACTTTATACGTGTGTGTGTGTGTGTACACTGGAGTCTAACAAGTAGACAGGGAGAGCCACTGGCAGCAACTGGTCAAAACTGAGATGCTTTTACAGCAACCTTCAAGTACTGCTTTAAAAAGCATCAAATGTTTAGCCCTTTTTAAACCCTCATAAACAGAAAAGTGTCTTGTGTGCCTTATAATTATTTTCTGTTCATCCAAACGTCAACATAAACATAAGTGAATGTAATCAGTCACAGAGGCTCTGGCATAATTTTATTATGAAGATTCTATACATAGGGTATTATTAGCAACAAATTAAAAATCTTCTCACAATGGAAAATGTTAGTTTTAACATAGTTCTCTTCTATTATCCAATCTTCTTTTGTTCATCCAGTTACTTTTACTCGAAGGCAGACTTTGGTTATCCAAAGCTACTTTAAATTAATTAATTAAACTTCACTCATTTAAACCAGTGGTGTCAAAATAATAATAATAAAAAAAAACAAACCTTGTCCTTATTGTAATCAAGTCAGACAGGTCAAAACCCTTTATCTAATAGTACCATAACACAAAAAACAATTATGAACCACACAACAAACATTATATTTTGCAAAATACACATAAGATATTGAAAGTTATAGTTGTTTTGCTTAATCAAAGGCTAATCTAAACAAGTGGGGTTTTAGCCTTGAGTTAAAAGAACTCACTGTGGATATGTACAGATGGCAAACTTTTTGTCACACATGCCTGGCAGTTAAACAGAAAGTCAACCAGACTAAGGGGTACAAATTAAGCCTTGCTATCCTGCTAACTTTATATGGTTACTATTTACACTAAGGTCTTCATCAAGCTTTCCAGTTGTTTCGTTCATTGATCTGATAGTAGATATGAACGAATTAAGGCCTGTGCTTGATTCTTCTTTACCAGTTCCTGACTCGTGAAGATCAACACACATCTACTTAAATGATATTTTACCTTGTCTTCTATGTTTCTAACAATTTAGAGAGATATGTCTCTGTTTTGTGTCATATTTATACATTTTTCATAGAAAGTGATAGGAGTGCAACAAAATGTAAAGATGATGATTTGTAATTTTGGATTTTTTTTTTACCTCCACTGAATAATAAAGGTTGGATTTTCTACTTTTATCAATATGACATCATTTTATAACAATAAATCATTAACTTGTCTCAAGAGTTCGTAAACATATTTACCAGTTTTTCTAATTAGCGTGGATAGCTGCTCTGACTGGCAAGATGCAGGATGATCTGTATTACTTTCACTCACAAACCTACATTTGGCAAAAATAACATCCCGAAAGTGAAAAATCAGAAAGCATGTGTAATAACTGTGATGTATAAGATACACCTTGGAGGCTCTGATGGACTGTAAGCCAATTGTTTTTACCTCAAGTTGTGTTTATAATTTTTCAAGTGCTAACAATAATCTGACAACCTTCTCATACTCTCTCCCTATAAAAAATACGGGTTCAAAAGAGAATAAAAGTATGAAAAAAAGTCAAAGTGGAAAGCAGAAGGAGATGAACATTGATGACTGTATTAAGGAGGCACTTCTGTGGATGTTCAATGCCCAATGGAGCTTTCCTTGTCAATAGCCCTGTCACACCAGATGAAGATCCACCCACAGCCTCCAGGACCACCATGATGAACAAAGTTAGATCAATGAAAATCTGGAAAATTTCTTTCAAGAGTAAATGCAGTTTGAATACTACTGCTAACCAAAATTCCGTTTTCCCAGTAACCATGCCATACTTCATCAATACACTGTATTTATGGGAATTTTCCTATACATGTTGCTGTTTACAGGAACCCACAGCTGATGACGGGTTTTGCCTCATTTTGTGGCAACAACTGCCTTTAAGCATTTGCATAGCTAGTTATAAGTCTTTCGCATCGCTTTACTGGGATTTTACATCTTTCTTTGCAGACTTGTTTTATTTCAGCCGTATTTCAGTCTCAAAAACAGAACAGCCTTTTGTCACAGCATTTCAATCAGACTTAAATCTATATGTTGATCTAGTGCTTTTCAAGCCAATCAGAGATGGACTTGATGATTTGTCTTGGCCCTGATACACTATCCAATTTCACTTGAGTTTAAGGCTTAAGGCTACAAATTGATTTCCAGACAGCCTCGGGACTTTCTGTAAGCATAAATTCATCAGTTACTGAGACATCGAGGTTTTAAAGCAATAAAGTAGCCACAGACCATCCACCCATTCTCTGAAAACAAAGTTGCCAGGGGGTCTGGAGACTATCTTCAGTGGTCATTG